TTATATAAATGTCACATATATATATATATATATATATATATATATATATATATATATATATATATAAATCTTTAAAAAATAATATAGATAAAAACTAAAGATTTTAAAAGTAAATTAGTAAGTAAAGCCTCCACCAATTCCAGAATGACAATAAGTCCAACTCTGTAGTAACAATTTGTCAGGTACTGGAAGGGCAGCAAGCAGGGCAATCTATGAGCATTATTAAGGCTAATTTTATTAAAAAATGGTTACATATTCTGTTAGACAAAAGAGCATAGGAGAAAACACTGTAGAAAAAGAAAGACAAGTACAAATATTGCAAAGAAAAGCAAAGAGATTTTATATTTTCTCAGTCAGCTGCGGCTGAGGAATTCTGATGAGTCATGGGTCCTCTAGGGAAATCTCCCATTTATCAACACAGATATGATTGATACAAACATAGCACACACTGGAACTGACGATGAAAAACATCAAAGCTTACTTCTGATGGTTTGGCTACATCTTTTTCATCTACATATTTTGCCCATGGTCCCAAGAAACCATCAATATTAGATGCATCGTTTTCTTTGAACTTTTTCCTCTTTTCTGTTTTCTTCTGACCAGTTTCAAATACAGTTAAACCTACATTAACAACAAACATAAACAGTTAAGTAAGCAAGCCTCTATTCATTAGAAATATCAACATATATGATTTTATTTGGCTAAAGTAATTATGAGCAACCAAAACCAAAATCTGTCTGAATCTGCCACACAGACCACTCTTGCTGACAAGAAATGCAGCATTCTAGGGAAAGATGCTGAGATATTTTATATTCTAACACTTTTTAAAAGACATGTGACCATGGTATATAGCCTCTTTTGGTTTTTAGTTTCAGAGAGAGGTTTATTATCATTAGTTTAAGAAGTGCTTGGCCATAGAGGTCCCAGGCAGTGAGGTACTACCAGGTTGCTGGTCTTGGGCTTTTAAAGACTCATGGCAGATCTGGGGAGGCACCGTCTTAATGAATCAAAACCAGTATTGGTTTTTGTTTTGTTTTTAGAGACAAGGTCTCATGTAGCCTAGGATAGCCTTAACTGGGATTATAGGTGTGCACCATCATGCCCAGAAAGATACCAGCAACTCTGAAAACAAAAATACACTGTAATTTATCATTTAAAAATGAAATTAAACTATAATAAACACTTAATACTTCATTTTTATTTCATGTGTATACAACAATACAAATTAAACAATGCTTCATAGGAATCTGGTATTTACTCCATATGATGTCACTCTAAACTTGGCCTCTAATGTCATCAACCTTAAAAAGACTGACAAAGGATGGTGTTTTTATTTCATCATCAGGTGAAGGTTTGTTTGTACCTACTAAACTGAAAGAAACGCTTAAGTGTCATGATTACAAGCTGACCAAGAATCTAACTGTGTGTGTGTATATGTAGTGTGTTTGTAGAGGTGTAACTGAAAGAAAAAAGTCCATCTCTATGAACTCAAAGCAATTTCCATTGGGCTCTGTGTTACAACAAAGCAAATTAAAATTCAATACTAATTAGCTCATAGGAAAAAGGGAGCTTCATAATACAGGGTTATCCTTATGCAACAAGCTCATTTTATAAATATAGATTCCAATATTCTGATGAGCTTTGTATACTATGGTGGCTTTTAGGTTATGATGTCTGTCACACTTACTAAGTGAATAGAAACACATATATTTTAAAAGGCATATTAAAAATATACATCATAGCAATTTGTCAAAAATTATTTCAAAGGACACCTAGTAAGGAATTTTTCTGTTAAAATGTAGCTTGACAGCGAGACCAACTGCCAAATTTACCTATGCATGAATTGTAACAGAATGATTTGTTGTGGTTGACAATGTGCCAAGTACTTAAAATAGCCGAAAGAGGTCAGTATGACCACCTTCCTGACGAATGGCATAGCTGATGAGTGGCCGCGTGAGCAGTAAATGGGAACAGCTCTAACTACCATTCTGTGACTTCAACTTAAAAAGACCAGGAACTAAACAAAATGCTAGTTTTCCCTAGTGTCTGATGACTACAAGACACTCTTTATAATTCCCTATTCCAAATATATTACCTTGATTCTTTTCAGCTTCTTCCACAGAACCAATGTATTTAGCAGACACTTGGTGATTATCTAGTGAAGGGTCCAGTGCATAGCCTAAAAGCAAAAAAGGACAAATGACCAACTCCCCCTTTACAACTCAAAAGTCTTCTTACTGTCTGCAAACACTCATTTCATAGTCTCCTTTCCAGATGACAAAAATGTCCCTAAAGATTGGGACTTCCTTTCTGAGTTCCATTTCCATTTACAACACTTAAGCCACATGTCAGGCTGCATCATGAAAGAGTAAGCAGTATTTCATAGGAGGAATCTAACAATCATTGCAGTACAAAGAAAGAGCCTTTCTGGCTGTGAATTCAAAGCCGTTGAAATTCTCTCAGAGCTTAAACTAAAGGTGCATTCTGTGTTCAGAAAGTTAGAAGCTATTTCCCTTTCCTTCTTGATAACGGATACTACAGTTAGAACATTATTAAACTGAAAAGACACAGGCTAAGAAGTTATATATAAGATACAGCTATTGTTTGGAAAATATCTTTCTTAGTTAGGGCAGTCTTCAATCTTAAAATGGGAATCTTAAAAGCAATTCCTGCTGTTTGTCTGAAAAGAGAAGAGGCTATCTGCTGGCATATGAATACAATCCTTCAACCAGTTACACAGTACATGGCTGCATGAATTAGTGGTCTTCATTAGTCAAAGAAAACCAAGGAAAACAAAGAATATGCACACTCAAATTAGATTTTTCTTGAGTGGATGCACTATTACAACAAATGTTTGATAAATTAGTCTTCATAATAATCCTGCATGTTCATAAAGCTGAGCCAGATCACCAGGCTATGGCTTACAACCATGTCGACAGGCACTTTTTAAAGGGCATATACTGGTAGATGGATTTAACATTTATTTTTATTTTTGCAGCTGAAGATTGAATTTCTTTGGGGAAACATAAAAAAGATTTGTTATGAAGTATAACTTTAAAACAGGCCAAGGATGTAGGAGTTCAAATCAGCCTTACAATATACCAGAATAGAACTAACCATCTGGCTATTAGCTCATCTGCACTTTTCTTTTTCCACCATTAAAGTATGTTCTTAGCCAGAGGAGAGCTTGATATCACAAGAGTGGCTCTGGAGTAGAATCTCTGAAACCAGGGGCTCAAACACCACACGTTACTTCAGATTTTTAGGGATATAAGGATAAAAAATTAGTGTTATAACCACTCCAAGAATGAATACCCATAGGAAAAGAGTAAACTCCATTGAAAACTCACAATGGAAAAGGAGCTTCAAGACCCACGAGAATACTTTACAACTACAATGTTTGTATGGTAATGATTTGACTTTTTTGTAATCTTTGATATACAGAAAGATTGTGAACCACAGGCTAACTGATAATCTGGCTTCCTCCTGTGAATAAGCTGAAATACAATGAAGACTGATTATATCAAGTATTTTCTGAAGTAGTGGACTTGGGAAAAACTAACATGAGTGCATGTGGCTAGTCTTTCTTTCCCTGGGTTCTTGTGGACCACTGAAGGCCACGGTTCATGCAGCACATCTTGCATCTGGTAAGCTTTGATATACAAAATATTGTGCTAAACATGAATTTTGGGGCTATGCACCTTTAACTGAGCAATTCTCCATCCCTGTACCTGAATTTTTTAATGAGACTTTTATAAGGTATACGCAGAATCCAGACCAACATAGTCTAAGTTTAAAAATGTATACTTCGAACATAAAGATTTATCAAAAGTATAATTGAAATGAGATTTATGTTTATATGAATGGCATGGCATGGTATTGCCAGGGTGGAACGAGGAGGGTGTTCTTGGTCATCCTTGTTCCATGTAAACACCAGTCCCCTGCCCATGTGGCCAGTCTTGGTCCCAAGGAAGGGACCTGAGCTCTGTGTGAAGATCTTCCATCAGTATTTCCACTATCCCCACTGCCTCCTTTCACCCCAGCGATGAGCAGGTCACATATCTTCTTTTCACAAGTAAGAGATTAAAACATATAGACACACATCCTTCTAAAAGTCTCCAGTGACATAACAAGGTCTACATCTGACACTATAGGATCTCAGTTCAACTAGTTTTCTATTATCCATATCTCAAAAATTAACATATCTCTATTATAGATTTTAATGTATGCTCATGTATCTTTCTGAAGCTTATATTCCATTTTGCCTTTTCAACAGAGTTAATATTTATTCTTTTTCCTTTTGGTCATACTTAAAATGGTTGTAACATTAATTTTATTATTATACCCTCATGGTTATAAAAATATAAGTTAATCAAAAGAAATTATAAACAATTTGCCAAGAATTACTTGAAAGTATATAGGAAAACCTTCAATCTAATTAGTAGTCCAGAAAAATCAAACTGAAATAGAGCCATATTATTTTGATTATCATATAACTAGGGAAAAAAATCAATCACATGGGTCCTGGGTAGAAGCACAGCTTTCATACATGGCCTTCCTTGTATCACATGGTAGAATAAACTGGGGAAATTCTCAGAAAGAAATTTGATGTACTAATGTACTATGAGTTTAAAAACAGTCTTTGATCTACTTTGTAAACATATTTAAGAAAACAATAATAAAGAAGCATAAAGTTTTATGCACAAGAATATTCACTACTATATTATAAAAGGCATCTTACTGTATCATAACCTACAAATTGCATTCTTAATATTGAAAACTGGAACCAACATGAAATCTAATACTTCAAGGATTTCTTACAGAAGTTAGTCTAGCAGACTTCAATTTCTAAAAAATGTTAATTGCCACTAGTATTGAAATTAACTGCATGATCCTCATGCAATTTCTAAAAAATGTTAATTGCCACTAGTATTGAAATTAACTGCATGATAATAATGACTCTCCTTGAACTCAGAGATCCACCTGCCTCTGCCTCTTACGTGCTAGGATTAAAGGCATGCACACACCACAATGGCTGTTTATTTTCAAACAAGTCCATTTCCAAACTAAGCAAACTTAATGGCTGCAAATGTTTATTCTTCCTATAAAATACCTTGAAAAGTAGATGTCAATAAAAACATAATTTATTGTTATTTTTTAAACCTGCTTTGTTTTAAGGACACTTTAAACACTTTATTTAAATTAAATTATTAAAATGGTCCCCTTCTAAAATCTATGAAAACAAAAACTTTAAGTCTATCTTAGTATATGACAGAATATAAAAATTCATGTTTTTTATTTTATTTTTTTTAATGTGTGTGGGTGTTTTGCCTGCATGTATGTCTATGCACCATGTGAGTGCCTGGTGCTACAGAGGCAAGAAGAGGGCTTTGGACTGCCTGGAACTGGAGTACAGACAATTATGAACCACCATGTGAGTGCTGGGAATTGAACCCAAGTCCTCTGGAAGAAGAGTCAAGTGTTCTTAATTGAGCCACATGCCCATTTCTCATGGCTTAGTTTTTAATGTGTTTCACATTGCTATAGGCTTACAATGTATTCCTTATAGAAGCAGGGGGTACAAAATGAATTTGTAACCATTTTATTGGACTAGAAGCACCAGTGAAATCTTCTAGGGTGATTATAGTGGTATGAGGTCCTTTTTGTTGCTATTATTGTTTTTTTTTGAGACACAATCTCATGTAGCCCAGGTTGACCTAAACTCACTATGTACCTGAGGATGATCTTGAAATGCAGATTCTCGGGTCCTGTACATCTTGGAATGCTAAGAATACAGGCATTCATCACCACACTGCACTGGTGACTTAACCCAAAGCCTACATGCTCAGGTAGTGGCCTACCAACTGAGCTACACTGCCAGCTGGTGTGCAGTTTTCACTGTGACTGCATCCTTGACATGGTGATACATGACCTAATAATATAGGACAAATCCTTTCAGAACCATTTTTAATACTAGTTAACTTTAAAAGATTCCATAACTGATAGACTATAGTCATTTTATACTATGGATTGGTTACTATTCTACTGGCTAACATCCTTTAATAACTAAGAGAAAATATTTAAGAAATAAGATGAGAAACAGAATAAAGTTAAGAAGCTTTTAAGATAATGAATGTATTTTTATACTATATTTTCATTTACTAACTTAATAATTATCTGCATGTGATGGTCACTTAATAACAAATGTTCATTACCAAGAACAATAACAAGGAACATTCTGGTTTTAGGACCACAGACTACTTTCAGTACTGGAAAAAAAAAATCATAGAGGATTTAAAATAAAAACTCAATATCCAATGCCTCTTCCCATACAGTATTTATAGATCACATAAGAAGGTACACTGTCTCTCTGGTGAAATCTAGATGAATAAACTTTAAAAGGCAGAAGACAGAATGAATGATGGCATACATTACTCATGCTTTTAAGTAAAGCCAAACTTAAAACTGTTAAAATTTTATCATCACCTTACCGTATGTGGCAAATGTTCTTCTTTGCTGCTCAAACATAAAGTCATTGATATGTGCTGGCTCGGCATATCCAGAAAGCATATTCCTAGGGGCAGCCATTTGCTGTGTTCTAAAGGGATTTTCTGGTCCAAACTGCAATGGTATAAGAAAGGAAAAGAAGGTCACTAAAATTACTATATAACGTGTTGTCAACTCTTGGCCATACATAAATTCACAATGGAGTGCTTTACTGTCCTAGGGCCAAATTTTACAACCTGTAAGAACCAAGACCAGGACAAGCCTGAGGCAAATATCTTACTACCTTAAAACATTCCCTAAGAGTGCAACCATAAAGCCTAACTTGTAAAATACTCACTTAAGAAGAACCACAATATGCTATGTTAACCCTCATTAAATAATGCTATTATAAAAGATCCTGGGAAAACCAAACTCTCTAACACAGTTTCACTCTGTAGCACAAGCTGCCCTTGAACTCCTGCCAATCTTTCTAAAGTTCCTGATTTTTGCTTGTTTTTATGAAGAGTCAAATGAGAGGTCACACTAAGGGAAGAATGAACTTAATATTCCTCTTTATTATTGTTTGTTTCACAATATAGCTCATCTGACTTAGAACTGCATGGAGCCCACACTGGTCTTACATTAACAATCTTCTTTCCTTCACCTCCTGAATACTGGGAGGAACATACCATCATCACTCCTGACACATAAAGGTATTTATTTTAATACTGGAACACTCGTTGTTCCTGAAGAAATATTTTGACGTTAGAACATCTCAAGTTCCTATCTTTAGAACCATCTTTTCTATGATACATTTCCAAAGCCACAAATGTGCTCCTGCTCCTCTTTAACAGCACTGTGTCTTCTCTAGATATCATTATACCATGCATGAGAAACAATGAATTTATCTGTCAGATTATTTGATATGTGTGTGCATTAGAGGAAAATAAACCACTATAAGATTGTCATAGACTGAAAACTTGTATTCTGCTTAAAATACCCATTTTTCTACCAAGTTTTTAATTGTACTCATTCCAAACTATAAAGGACAGTTATAAGGACAATTCAGGACTTTGCAGCCCACATCTGCTGATGGGTAGAACCACAGGGAAGACAAGTCACTGACAAGTCCATTTATTCATGAAATTATTTACAATGAACAGAAACAGCTACAAAATTAGAGACAATAACATGTTTAAGAGTTCTTAAGATGCACTACTATGCACTGAGACACACCTCAGCAGCGTCTGGTGGGAAGAGGGGACTCATGACAGTGGGAGTAGGGCTATCTCTGACTCTTTCCCCTGGTCTTGGGACCCTTTTCCTCCTACTTTGAGTTGCCTTTCCCAGCCTTGATGTGTGAGTTTGAGCCTGGTCTTATTGTATCTTATTGTGTCATGTTTGTTTTTTTCTTTTCTTTTTTTTTCCCCAGCGTTTCAAGGCAGGGTTTCACTGGATAGCCCTGGCTGTCCTGAAACTCACTCTGTATACCAAGATGGCCTTAAACTCAGAGATCAGCTTGCCTCTGCCTCCCGAGTGAGAGGATTAAAGGCGTGCACCACCACTGCCTGGCAGCATGTTCCACTGATGTCCTTGGAAGGCCTGCTCTTTTCTGGGGGGAGAATGGGGGTGGTGGTGCTGGTGCTGGTGGCAGATCTGGGGAAAAGAGGAGGTGGGGAGGGGGGAAAATGGGATTAGAGGTATAAATCACACCAGGTGTTGGTGGCATACGCCTTTAATCCCAGCACTTGGTAGGGCTCCCCAGCAAGGGCCCGGGTAGGCTCCAAAACTACACAAAAAAAACCCCGTCCCAAAAAACAAAAAAAAAAAAAAAAAAAAAAGGTATGACCACTACTGCCTGGCTCTGTTTCTCTTATGGACTGGTTCAATATTGTGTAGCCTAGAGTGGCCTTGAATCATGATCTTCCTGATTCCTCCTCCCAAGTACTGGGATTAAAGGTGTATGCCACCACTGCCTGGCCTCTATGCTAACTAGTGGCTTAGCTCTGCCCTCTGATCTCCAGGAAAGTCTTATTTGTTAGATCACAACTTTCTACAAATCAGGAAAAGTTCAGGACAGTTGTTGAAAAAATAATTTTTTAAGATGTAAGCGAAGTCTGACTATTCCTTATATGTAACACTTGGCCGGTGCTGGTGACGACAACCTATCTACACTATCTCTACAGCATTAATACTTAAGCAGCTCTTAGGGTTATATTTTTAATAGCAACTACCATTTATTCTCTGAATTTAGATGTATATATTTTCCCCTAAAAGCATGGCTAGTTTAAGGGATCTGGAATTCTTCCTGAGTCCAGTGAATTTAATATGATTTTAAAGAAACTAATAAATACTTTATCTCTAAGAAGCTAAAAGGGGATCTAGCTCAAGGAAGAAAGTTGCTGGTATAAAACTCCGTCTTGCTCAATAATTTGAGCAAGCAATTCTGTATTAATAGGTAGACCATCTATGGCCTTCAAACTCTGCTTCCAGTTACTGACGGATAGAGATCTGGACTTGGGTCCTACAAAACGTTAACCGATGACAGTTAAATCAGACTTGCCTTTTGTTCTACAAGAAAGAACACTTACTTCATAGGTTTAGTAAGTACAAAAGGAGCGAAAGTATGTCTCTACCTGTCTATGACAAAATCAATGGTAGTTTTAGCTCACCCACTGGTCTCTTTCTGCTCTTTTTTTTTAATCATTCAATTTTCACACCACATATTTTTACAGTAAAGTAGAAATCACATTTAATTATGAGAAAATTAAGAACATCCAAGATCTTACAAAAGCTTATCCCCAGTCTCATTCCAAATTCCAAACCTGGACTTTATTGTCCATTTCACATATGACGTTGATAGATAACTATCTGTCTGGTGTCTAAGCTATGGACATTTTAGAGGCTCAGGGAACATTCTAGCGCCTATCTGGTTAAGAAAACACACAGCACACCCTCTGTCAATGATGAGGTGAAGGAGAGGGATTCTGACAGTGAATCCCTAACATAGAGGGACTTGAACTGAACTAGCAAAGCCCCTGGTGACACCTTTCCAGACTTGGCCAAGTGATATGGATTCTAGTCGTAAAACACAAAGTTCACAATCTGTCATATCACAGATGACTGCTTCCTTGGTAATTATTAAAGATTCTAAATTTGCTTGCAAGAATCACTCCTTTCTTAAACTTTAACATATGTGGTATTCTTAACATGAACAAGTTTACATGTTAGTGGTGGCTCCTTAACATGAGGAAGAAATGATGGATGGAAATAATGAGTGGATGATTGACTTGCCAATATCATCACAAAATTAATTAATTCACATTTAGTCTTTTGATTGAAAGTTTTGAAAAATATAATTACATAGCAATATCACAGCTAATAATAACTCAAGATTAGAAAAAAAAAAAAAGCAGATCTCATAGAAAATAAACTGGCACCAAAATGTTATACGCCACACTGCTTTCAAATTTTCTCATCCTCTGAGTGCAAATAAGCACTATTTTACTGAAGTCCTTTCCATTTGTAAAAGCCATGAGGCAGACATGAATGGCATTTCAATGGGCCAGAGATGTTACTCGAGGAGAGGAGACAGCTTACAGAGTTCAGGAGGGCGGGACTAAGAAACAACTCTCCGAGGACCTGAACAGATGCTTGTGCAGCGACAGAACAGCTAGAGCACTGTCTGATGCAGATACCATGGTGCTGACTGTGCTACACATCTCAGATGCCATGGGAACCTAGGCAGGTGAAGTATGACACAGCTCTTAAAGGTCCTGCTAGTCAAGTCTTTTTTAAGCAGGGGCAGAGTATGCCTTACAATGACTATTTCCTGTTTTCTTTCTGTCAGTCAAGTGCCTTTTCCATTTTAACATCTAACGATGTTACATTTTTAAATAAGCTTTCCTTAATGAACAGTGTTCAAAGCCTTTAAATGGACATGATGAATTTTTTCTTCGTTCTTTCCCAATGTTTCTATTACTATTTATTACCAAGCGGGAGGAGAAAGATTCCATCCATAGTGCATACTGCTTCACTCGGCAGTGTGAGTGTATCCAGCAGTGGAGTATGACAACAGACAGGCATTTGGGACTGCTCATAATTTACTGTGTATTAATGTTAATTAACCATTTTTCTTTGTAATTAATTGCAATAGTCCCTTATCAAGGCCGAGAGAGGATATCAAGTGTACAGTGAAGAATTAATATTTTCAGGTTCCCTTTTTCAAGACAGTTCTGTATGACTTTTGCATGTGGGCATATAAGTAGTCGGTGGATTTTTAAAAGGATTCTCATAAAAACTATTAAGGATTTTGGAGACTAGAAAGATATATTTTCTAAAACTTATAGTAACATAGTTGAATGAGAATTTAAAAAAAAATCAACACCCATTTATCTACCTCAGTATTAATTTAAATACTCAGCATAATGGGAAACCTTGGGTTTGCTTTCTTACCTCAGGGGCAAACATGGTCTCATAGGTAGGATTATACTGAACTTCTTTGATCGCAGGGTCAAGGTGAACTCCAGTCTCCAAATCTTCCTAAAAGAAAGCCACATAATGTTACAAACTTGCGAAGTGAGTATATATTTTAGGAACTACAGCAAAGTCTCATTGTAAACATCTAACACTGACTTCACGAGTATTACTGTAGTATCCCAGCATTAGTAATTATTACAATCAAAGAGCAATGAAACATTTATGTAACATATGCAGTTTTAGATGTCAAAATACATAGTTTTCAATATACTAACTTTATTAACTAAATAAGTTAACACTGCCCAAACCGTCAAATTAAGAAAGTCTAGCTTCTTCATGCTATCACTTTGTGTCAGCACCAATATACCTGGAGTTCCTGTTTAGGAACTCACTGGCCTCCGCAGCCTGGGAATCAGTGGACTATCGTCCCACTCCTGCCTGTCATCCATGTCCAATCCCCAGTCTCATCTCTAGCCTTGCAGCAGACCACCTGCAGCACAACCTGCCCTCCCTTTCTGCCTCTATGCCTCTACTCCCGGGGGATTCTTCTAAACTTCATGGCAGACCCAGCTTTCCTCACAGCGGACCCTTCTAGCCCCCACTTCTAGCCCAGCCTCATTTCTTCTTGCTAGCCCCCCAATATCTAGAAACACCTTTTACCCAGGACACCCAGTAGCCACTAGAAAGGGACTCAGAAGCACTCCCTACCAAGCAACCCACAGCCACCACGCTCCCCGAAAATCCAGAAAACAAGGAATGGAGCACCCACCCAGACTCCACTGAGAAGTCAGGTGTAATTCTAATAGATCTGCCTTTATGTTACATGGTCTTTTCCTCCTGCAACTTTCAATATTCTTTCTTTGTTCTGTATATTTGGTGTTTTGATTATGTGCTGAATCACAATAATCCCAAACCCAGATGAGTAGACATCAGAGTAAGAACATAATAAAAAACAGCCAGGACAATGTCTCCACCAGAACCCAGCAACCCTACAACAGTAGGCCCCTAAGAAATGCAATGTAGCTGAGACATAAGGCAAGAACTCAAAATAGCTATTATGAATATGCTAGAGGTCCTGAAAGAGGATATGAATGAATTCATTAATAAAAATATATGAAAATACAAACAAACAGTAAATGAAATGAAGACAACTGTTCAAGACATGAAAGTAGAAACAGAATCACCAAAGAAAACCCAAATTGAGGTAAAACTGGAAATGAAAAATTTAGGAACTCAAACAAAAACCTCAGAGGTAAGCCTTACCAACAGAGTACAAGAGAAGGAAGAGAGAGTCTGAGATACTGAAGACAAGATAAAATAAATGGATAGTTTAGTCAAAGAAAATGTAAAAAAAAAAAAAAAAAATCTAGGCATAAAACATCCAGGAAGTCTGGGACTCTAATGAAAAGACCAAATCTATGAATAATAGGAATTGAGGAAGGAGAAGAAACCCAGGTCAAAGGCCTAGACAATATTTTCAGCAAAACCATAAAAGAATATTTCCTTAAAATACAGGTTCACAAAGCACGAAGAACACAAAAAAGACTAAACCAGAAAAGGTACTTCTTCTTTTTTTTTTTTTTTTTGGTTTTTCGAGACAGGGTTTCTCTGTGTAGCTTTGGAGCCTATCCTGGCACTCGCTTTGGAGACCAGGCTGGCCTCGAACTTACAGAGATGGAAAAGTACTTCTTATTACACATAATAATCAAAACACTAAACTTATTCTTTTTAGGAGGTTATAATTACCCTGAAACCTAAAGTACATAAAGACTCAAGAAAGAGAATTACAAACTAATTTCCTTTATGAACACAGATAGGAAAATTCTCAATAAAATACTTGCAAACCAAATACAAGAACACATTAAAAAGATCATCTACCATAATCAAGTAGGCTTCATACCAGAGATGCATAGATAGCTCAACATAAATAAATCGATAAATGTAATCTACATCAGAAACAGACTGAAAGACAAAAATCATATGATCATCTCATTAGATGCAGAAAAGGCCTTTGGCAAATTCCAACACCCCTTCATGATAAAAGTCCCAGAGAGACTAGGGATATAAGGGACATACCTCAATATAATAAAAGCAATTTACAGAAAGCCAACAGCCAGCATCAACCTAAATGGAGAGAAACACAAAGCAATTCCACTAAAATCAGGAACAAGACAAGGCTGTCCACTCTCTCCAAATCTACTCAATATAGTACTTGGGAATTCTAGCTAGAGCAGTAAGACAACTAAAGGAGATTAAGGGGACACAAACAGGAAGGCAAGAAGTGACTCTAAAAACTCCAGCAGGAAACTTCTACAGCTAATCAACACTTTCAGCATAATAGCAGGGTACAAAAATTAATAGCAAAATTCAGTCGGCCTTTCTATATACCAATGAAAAATGGACTGAGACAGAAATCAGGGAAACAATAGTTTTCACAATAGCCTCAATGGAAATATCTTGGGGTAACTCCAACCAAACTAGTGCAAGACTTATGTGATAAAAACTTTAAGACATTCAAGCAAGAAATTGAAGAAGATATCAGAGAATGGAAAGATCTCCCATGCTCATGGGATAGTAGAATTAACATAGTAAGAATGGCCATCTTACCACAAACAATCTACAGATTCAATGCAGTCCTTTTAAGATTCCAACCCAAGTCTTCACAGAACTTGAAAGAACAATTTTTAGGGAAACACAAAACATCCAGGATAGCTAAAACAATTCTGAAAAATAAATAAGTGCTACAGGTGTCGCCATCCCTGATTTCAAATTGTACTGAGAACTATAGTAATAAAAATAGTATTAACGTAAACTCAGACTTGTTGATCAGCGCTGGTCAAATTGGATGGCTACATGTTCAAGAATGCAAATAGATCCACACTTATCATCCTGCACAAAACTCAACTCAAATGGATCAAAGACCTCAATGAAAGGCCAGATACACTGAATCTGATAGAAGAGAAAATGGGAAATAGCCTTGAACTCATTGGTGTAGGAAAAGACGTTCTGAACAGAACACCATTAGCACAGGCCCTAAGAACAACAATCAATAAATGGTACTTCATAAAACTGAAAAGCTATATGGCAAAGGGCACCATTATTAGGAGAGAGCAGTAGCTTAGAAAATGGGGAAAGACTTTTAGCAACTACACATTTGATAAAGGGCTAATATTTAAAATATATAAAAAACTCAAAAAAAAATCGAACATTAAGAAAACAACCCAATTAAAACTAAAAAAATGGCTGGATGGTGGTGATGTATGCCTTTAATCCCAGCACTGGGTGGCAGAGGCAGGCGGATCACCTTATACCAGTCAAAACAGCCAAGATCAATAAAACAAATGACAGCTCTTGCCGATGAGGATGTGAAGGGGACCGCTCATTCGTTGCTGGTGGGAGTGCAAACACTAGAGGAAGCTGGGGAATCTTAACTACCTCAAGATCTAGCTACCCTCTTGGACATCTCCTCAAAGGACTCTACATCCAGTTACAGAGCCCTTTGCTCAACCACGTTCATTGCTGCTCTATTCATAATAATCAGAAACTGAAGCAGACTAGATGACTGACAACAGATGAATGGATAAAGAGAACACAGTACATTTACACAATGGAGTATTACTCAACTGGAAAAACAAAAAAAAACAAAAAACAAAAATCATGAAACTCACAGGTAAATGGAGGTAGCTAGAAAAAAATTTAGACATTTCTAGCCACCAAAAGAAACCTCCAGTGCCAGGAATAGGCTACATCTAATTGAGTTATTGGTGAAAGGCGCCTCACGGAAATCCCCAAACAACTCAGGGTACTGCCAAGGCTATTGGTTGCCCTCCACAAAAAATAAGACCCTATTGCTGAAGACAACACCTACATAACTCACAGGACAGGGGAAAGTTGAACTGGTGCTAACCTAGAGCCTTCGTCCCTATTGACCAGTATTTATGGTACTAATAAGTACTCTGCATGCTACCAGAGGAGAAAGGTACACACCAACCTAGCCACAGATCCTTCTATTACAATGGTGACCTGCCTACAAGATACACTTGTGTAGCAGTAGCACGAAAGCTACGGGAGTCGTCTACCACTGTCTCCTTGATAGTAAGGCCCACTCTATGAGATGGAACCCATGCCTGACACAGCGTTGGTGGCCAAGAACCTGAGACAGCCATGGACCTAGGGGAAACCCTGGATCCAATCCCCCTTCCTGCTGCAGGAAGGAAAATTGTCTTTTTCTGCCTGCAGTCTTATGGAATATTTTATTTTTCACAGCATTTATAATGCATTATTTATTGCAATTGGCTTTTACTTACATTTTATACCCTTTATTGCCTTGCAAAATGAAGGGCAGGCAACCCAAGTCAATAAATATTTGTTAAATTAAAATGATGAGAGAAAATGTAAATCTAGAGAAATTATGTAGAATAAGGCTGAGTAACTGTCATGGGATTTGGCACAACTGCAGCCAGCCAAGTAGTTCTGGTACTGAGATGGATGACGGAAGCCACATGCAAAGAGCACAGCTGGAGATGAGGATGTGCAGAGCAACACAGTGATGCTGCTCACTCTTTCAGAGGTTTTTTTTTTTCTTTTCTTTTCTTTTTCTTTTCTTTTTTTTTAAAAGACAAACCCCAACAAGCAAGCAACAATAAATCCCAGAAGAGATGGGGAGTCATGATTTCCAGAATCCTTCTTAAGAATAACTAAGTCAAAGACAGTCATAATGCTAGAGAGAAGGAGGTGACAGGGGGATGCATAGAACACCAAGGGGATGGTAGGAGGTGGTGTGGCATTCCTGGACTCCCACCATCGGGGATTTGGGGTGGTAGGATTATGAGTCAGGCCAACCTGACTACACAGAAAGAAAAGAAGAGAAAAAAAGAACAAGGGGATAATCAATGGGTATCCAAGAAGAGGTAAAGGGGGGCAGAATCCAGGGTACAGCTGGAAGCATTAGTGTCTAAAACGAGGGCTCTCTTAGAGATAACAAAGAACAGGTAACGAGTGAGACACCAGGAGATGCTGGCAACCAAAAATGACCAGATTTACATGCAGCAGATATTGACCAT